CATCTTTCCTTTACTCCCTTCCTTCAACAGCTTAATCCAAAGGGAGGCTTAGTAAATAGTAATCCATCTATAATAATTAATAAATGTCATGATTATAAACTTAATGAAATTGTAACTTGCCGCCCAAAAAAAACCTCAGCCTATTTATCAAAATCCCAACCAAAGCCCTAGACACCTTTAATCTTCACCGTCCAATTTCCTTGATTCACCATGGCCCTTGAGCAAATTAATTAGGTCAAAAATTGACACCATACCTGCAAAAATACAAACTGGGCAACAAAGAAATTCGGGCTAGTCAGAAGAGCACGCTTCTGCCGCTGACTTGCACGGAGTTGTCAGGTTCCTCTCGCCACATGGTGCACGTTGCTTGTCTGATGATGGGATTACGGGAACTGGAAATAGGAGATGAAGACGAAAGGATAGGCGCAGAATGCGAAGGCTCGAGCCCCGTCCTAAATTTCGAAGGCCAAAACGACGCCGTTTAGGCTTGGAGATCCCCTTTAATCCAAAAGTCTCTCGTATCCGTCATCACCATAAGATTCCTACACAATAAAACATGTATTTTAAATACTTGCAATTAAGTACAAAATGTGAATAATTCAATTCAATCTTGATTTTTCTTTGACAGAATTTCCCAATTAATTTCCCACATCACATTAGAGCTAAAAAATTTTGAATTTTTTTCTTGAAACCTGATAATTTATGGAAAACGAATATTTATAAAATAAATCAAGATTTTGGCAAAAATATCAAAAAAAGGCAGAGTAAAAATCAAGTTATGACAGTAAGAACCCCAATCATAGCTTCACCCTAGCATCGTCATCACCCACTGAGTCCTCCACTCCCTCCTCTTGCAGCAGCCGTTGCTCACCTTCCATTCTAAAGAAACAAAAACCCAACCGACGAAAACCCACTCTACCAACCTCATAACCATCATCCCCTCCACAGATAGAAACGAAAAACAAGAAAACAAAAACCTGGCATGACGAAAGGAAGAGAACAAGATGAGATCGAAAACCTGAGCACAGATACTCTGAAATTTCACATCAAAAACCAAACGCCGCTACCTCTCAATAGATAGAATATGAAACCCTAATCCTAGGGATAACTCCCAAAGTAGTCAATACCGTACCGGCATGCGTACCGATTTTGTTACTGGAACGGTACGTACCAGATACCGGAATTTTTCGCTTACCGTTTCGGGATTTATCGTTATAAAAAAATTTTATGAAAAATTTGGGGGAGAAGTTGAAGAAAAAAAACAAGAAAATGACTAAATTAAAAAAATTAAAAAGCTGAGGATGAAATTTACTAAAACAAACCATAAGCCCAGCCCAATATTGAGCAGCTCATCAAAACCCAAATTTAACAAAACCCTAATTTCCTCTCTTTTAAAGGGAGAAGGAGAGGTGCGGCTGCCAAAGCAGC